CTCCAACCATGGCTATTCATCTGCAGGCAAAGGAACTTGGAAGGAAATTTAGTGTTGGTTATATGCTTGTTCTATCAGGCAGCTAAGGCTGCTAGCTTTTTCCCTTGGCTCTTGGTGATACAGTGAAGTCCTCTCCCGGCCTTCTTCCCTTGGGTCACTGATGCCTGAGATGGAAGTGGGTTGAACCCTTCCTGCCGAAAGACGAAGATGAACATAGAGGGCATTCCTTAGGGGCCATTGACTGAAGGTAGTAGGAAAGGAGGATGGATTTGATGAGGGTCTTTCCTTTGCTGTTAAGACGACTGTTGTGGGTCTCAGCAGGCTGACTTGATGTAGGCTCACCTGGAAAATACAAGATTGCTCTCAAGCTGAGGCTTCATGCTGCTGTGAAATAGCCCTTGGCTTTCCTTGTGTGGACTTCCTGAGCTCACTGCACAGGGTCCAGTACTAAACTTGAGGCTGCCTGTGAAGCTGTTGTAGTTGAATTATCATTGGAATCAGAAGAGGAATGCCCTAACTTGTACTCCATGTAGAGGTATTTCTTCAGCAATATTGAGCAGTCACTTTTAAGTTTGGCTCCCTGAAGAAGATGCAGACAGGACTTCTGTCATTATTAAGTTTGCAGTCCAATCCAGAAAGAATTGCTAGATTTTTAGATTTGCAGTGGCATAGGAGTGGTTCAGATGATGAGCGTGTGCCTTAGTAGCTTTATTTTACTAGTGGGAATTGAGAATTGGTGGGAAGAAATGATCCTTCAGTTACTTGTTAAAAAGCCCAGATTTGGGCCCGGCGTGGTGGCGCAAGTGGTTAAAGGTCCTCGCCTTGCACGCCCGGGATCCCATATGGGTGCCGGTTCTAATCCCAGCAGCCCCGCTTCCCTTCCAGCTCCCTGCCTATGGCCTGGGAAAGCAGTCGAGGACGGCCCAAAGCTTTGGGAACCTGCACCCGCGTGGGAGACCCGGAAGAGGCTCCTGGCTTCGGATCGGCATAGTATCGGCCCATTGCGGTCACTTGGGGAGTGAATCATCGGACGGAAGATCTTCCTCTCTGTCTCTCCTCCTCTCTGTATATCTGCCTTTCCAATGAAAAAATAATAAAAATAAAAAAATCAAAAAAAAAAAATAAAATAAAAAGCCCAGATTTGTTTAGCTCTCATTTCTTATAATGACTTAGGTTTCTTGGAAATATAGATGGAAACTTGCTAGAAGTTAATTTTGTTTCCCTTCTCTATGGATGTAAGCAAAAATCTGTTATGAGCAAAGTGAGTTTACCGAAGGAGTTAGATGTGGCCTGGTGTCAATCAGCATGGCAGGTAGGAAAGGACTCGAGTCTGTTCCTCCACAATGGATAGGAAGGAGAGGATGCATGGGGGGATGGATTCTCTGCTGAGGAAGAGGAAGAGATGCTTGGGTCAGGCTGAGCCAGGTTCTTTTCTACATTGCTTCTTCTCAGAGAAGAATGGGTGAAAAATCATCAACTAGGTGTTATGAAGAAAGGTACAAAAATGTTTCTAGCAGTTCTCTTTCCCTGTGTCACAGTGGAGGCTACTGATCCCAGATGGCTTTGTGCAGCCAAATTGTGGAAAGATAGGAGCGGGCTGGGAAAAGTCTGAGTATGTGCAGTAAAGAAGAAAGATGTGGGTAGAGATTACAGCTTGATCGAAATGCCTTGCAGTTGCATAGCACAGGGATGGTGCTAGGATCTTGTTGTCTATAGAGGATGGATCATGTGTTCATACCAATTAGCACTTTTGCTGTAGTAACCCAGTTGAAATCCAGTTCCTGCACTGACCATTCTGTGGACTGTGCCATGGCATCTTCTGATGGCAGAGTTTCTTGCATGCTCTTAAAATTCTTCTCTGTCATATCCTCTGTCTTGGAATAGGAGAGCCAACTGTTTCTGTCTTCCTTTGGTATGTGAATATGAATTAAGGAACCCAGGGTGGGTTCTGCTGAACTCCCAGAGAGACCTGGAAAGCTGTTCTCTTTCTTTTTCCAGGCTTTGTGAGCTGCCAGTGGGGTAAGACCTTTGTCCTTGTCCCACATACGGTTCACCTGGATGCCATACTGACCTCTGTTCCCCATGTTGGGTACTGAGTTATAGTGTGATCAGTTGCAGGCACTGTTTTTACCCTGAGCTTTGGACAGTACAACACCCCTGTGTCTTTGAACACTGGGGAACACTTGGCAACAACAGAGTGGTTCCACAGAGTTTGTTGATGAATTCTAGAAGTTTCTTTTGGTAAAGATGACTAGCAAGTGAATAAAGGATGAAACTCAAGTTGCCTGAATCATAAAATTTTATAATGAATAATTTGCCAGATTGGGTCTGGAGTTTGGCTAGATCTAATCTTGTCAGAATACCAAATATTGGAAGGCATCACAGGGAGTGGTGACAGGTGAGACATGGTTCAGGAAGAATCATCGTCTCACTTAGAGGACTCCTGTGAGGCTGGGTGAAAGGAAGTGGGTAAGAATTTTTAATAAAGTTAAGATGTTAACTGCATTGTTTAGAGGGAAGAAGGAGTAGAGAGACTATGGTAGTGTGGCTTGTCCAAGGTCTCAAAGTGAGTTAATGGCTGAATCAGAATGGAGATCTGATTCTTGCTCACTGGGCATCTTTCCTCCACCCTGCAACCTTGGTACTAACAGGGTAAGCATAAACACCTTCCCCACTATGCAAATCCAGTTGGCCAACAAGGACCACTTTTGCCTCTTGCTACGCCAGTCTGTGGGCATCTAGAGAGAAGACAATAGTAATAACCAGAGTGTCAGGGGCAGTTTATTTGTTCTGGAACCCTTGGAGGGATCAGATGGGATTCCCAGAGGTAAGTTTTGTCTGGAGGTGGCTCCTAAAATCTGAAGACTGAACACTGGGAGTCCTTTTGGAAAACAGGTGTGGATGGCTGCCTGGCTTCCTGCTCCTCCTGGTAGCCATTCCGAGAGCTGAGTACCACTGATGAATCACCAGCAAGGCAAAGGAGGGGAATGAATGAAGGGAGCCCCCCCCCTGCTCTGCCCTCCACCAAGCCTCACTGTGATTGTGTGTATGAAATTCACCTGCCCAACCCTTTGTGACATGAGCCTTTGCCACTCTGTCGTGTGTCTCTGAAAAAGCAAGCATCCATCATCCCTGAGCAAGGGACAAAAATACTCTGCCACCATGTGTACATATGTGTGTGTGCACATGCACAAGCATATAAATATGTGTGCAGGTATATGCATGCACCTCCCTGGGTATATGTTTAAAAACATACTTTACCCCAGACACAATTGGGACATGTCCCAGTACCCAGGGTTGTGAAATATATTTGGAGTAAAGAATGTTCAGTTCAAATGTTCTGTACTGTTACTGTTTCTCAATTTGGATGGATCAGCAATGGCTGGGAGTTAAGATAACGCAAGGCGGAGGGGGTGGAATGGGCTACAGAGTCATGGATGGGTGTGTTTGTGTGTGAGTCTGTGCTCGCCTATGTGCACTTGGGATTGAGAAATCATTTGTCTTTGGCAAGGGAGTGAAGAGAAAGTAAGCAAACAAGACAGTGTGGTTGGGAAAGAGTTCTGTGAAGAGAACTGTGTGTGATGCTCTCGAAAGACTGCCCACATTGGACATGGCAGACTATCCTCAGATCATGGCGCCTGCAAACTGGGTGCTGGAAGTCCCTGGGCGAGGATACCACATGACCTGGACACACTGCTATGTTCTCACTCTGGGATTTAGAGGGTGATGGCAGCAATTGGCTTTGGTACATTGTTGTGGTCTGCTCTAGGGTCTGAATCTGGGTGCTGCTGGCTTAGGTGCCTGGTATGTGCCTCCTTTGCCATCCCTGGTTTTATATTAAATCAGTGCTTTACCAACTGTTTTACCACTGCAACATTTGGATTGCTCCAGGTTGTTGGCTTCCAGAGTGCTTGGTGTTCTTTCATGTCTGTCCTGTAGATCCTACCTCTGGCTGCCACTGCCTGCCCTGGTTCTTCTGGCCCAGGGCCCTGGAGATGTTGTGAGGAAGGTGCTGACTAGGACAGAGGCGGAAGCTGTATTCTGGACCCGGCAGTGGCACACAGGGCCTGAGAATGGGAGTGTGGGTGGGAGAATGAGCATCCTGGGGCAGCTGATGGCTCAGGGCCTCTTCCCTGTTTGGACTCCCTGCTCGCTGCCCTGTTCCCTGTGTCTTACTGGCCTTATGGCCAGCTCATGACTAAAACAGGGTCTGCAGTTAAGCAGGGAGCACTGTTGTATGCTTGGCCTGTACCAGTTGTTGCAGGAGCCTCTGTCTTCCCAGAGGCGAGCATACATTTCAGATACTACATGAGAAAGGGCTTTGAAAAGCCTCAAGTAGTGACTCTCACTTTGTGTTTATAGGATATTGTCTGGTTTCTTGAAAACCTTCTTTCTTTTGAGGCAAGACATAGTGGGAAGAGTTTAAAAGCTGGTTCTCAAGGAGGGGTATGTGTGCTAGGGTTACTTAAGCACCTGGAACATCTGGATGACCTGAGAGGGGAGGCCTGTAGGATCCATAGGGACACCAGTTCTTTCATCAGCTTATTCCAGTGCACCAGGCTCTGGAGTAGCCTTTGGAATCAAAGAACAGACCCAGGTACAGCTCTCCTGAGTTTTGCAGGTGAAGGGGAAACCCAGGCACATACATGGTCAGGGTACAGAAAAGCTAGCAGGCCTCTTAACATTGGTTTGGTTTTACGCTGGTTGCTTCTTTTTCCCTTCCTCTGACACCTTGATCTGTGTTCCAGTGGAACAGGCTGTGCTCTGTTCTTTTGGCACTTGCTCAAGAGCAAGAAAGAAACTCTGGGTTGGCAGTATGTGGGCAAAAAGGGGTGGCTGAGGCAGTCTGAGAACCTAGGGCTGTGTCTGCATACATGCTGTGCCCTCCACCTGCCATCTTGTTTACCTGTGGAGGGATGGCCACCAAGCCACCAGGTGGGGTGGGCCTGGCTTCTCTCCAGCCTGAGCAGCAGCAACCTGTCTTTTGCTTTCCCTTACAGGAAGCTGCACAGTGGGATGAAGACGTACGGGTGTGAGCTCTGCGGAAAGCGGTTCCTGGATAGTTTGCGTCTGAGAATGCACTTACTGGCTCATTCAGGTAGGCAAGGATGCCTTAACTGCCTCACCCAGCCATTTTTACCCCTGATCAGAGCCAGCTGTGGCTCAGATGTCACCCTTCCCATGTCCTATCTGCCAGCCGAGGCCTTGGGGTGCTTTGTTATGAGACTCTTATGGGTTTCTGGAGCAGAAAAACCATCTCTATGGCATGCCTATCTGTTTGCACCCACCCTTCTGCTCCCCTGGATCTCCCAGGGTGAAGTTGGGCACCCAGTGCCCTGTGCGGTCTACCTTCCTAAGTAGACTGCAGTTTCATTAGCAAAACAGTTGTGGAATTAGGTTCTCGCTGTCTAATGAATCTGACTATTGGGTTCACATTATACAGGAGCCTTTAATTAAATAGATATAGAAAGGTTGGAACACAAAGCTAGTTATAGCGTGCTGTCTTTTGCAAGTTAATTTTATCCAATTCTAGTGGGGTCGACTATGTGGCTGCTGGTAATTTTGCTCATGTTTGGGCAAAGCTGCTCTGCTCCACGAGGCATGGAAAGTGGAGAAACCCCTGACAGTCAGCAGGCCCCCGGTATTCTTGGGAAGGGGAGGATTCAGCAGGCTGGGTGCTGCAACCTTAACATAACACGCAGAGGTCATCTACCTCCAGTAGTAGACCCCTCAGTACTTCCTGCCAGGGGCCTGCTCAGTTACCTTGCCATTCAGTTTGGTAATCACTTGAGGAGAGGAGTTGTCTTAGTACTGGTCTTGGTCTCCCCTTACTTAGGCAATGGCCAGGTCCGTCTTTTACCCCATATTGCTGCAAGCTATGGCCTGCCAGGTACTTCTGTGATTGTGAAATGAGCATGGGCATTAGGTTTGGGCAGGGGAGGGTTCAGGTCATGTTTGTGACCTTGGCCCAGATGTATTCTGTGAACCCCAGTTGCTGTCTCAGTCAAGTGCAGTGTTGCTAATATAATAATTATATATGTATATTTATATATAATAGTTGTTTTATATATGTAGTTGTTCAGTATTACCTGGCTCTGTGTGTGTGTATAAAAGACATCTGTAGCAAATCCGTGCAGTATAAATGGTATTTAGTGAATGTCAGTGCCTTCAGTTTGCACCTTCAGCTCCCTCATCCCACCCCCCAAAGCTGTCCTTTAGCTTCTTGCTCCACAGACTCTGTTCCTGGGAGCTGTGTGTGCTCTGCTTTCTCCCTACCCCATTGTGGCCACAGTGTTGAAGGGCTTTGTTGCAGATTCCTCTTCTTCAACTCGATTGCCTGGATGTAGAGCTACCCTGAGGCCCCTTGCAGTCCATTTTAAAGTGCCCAGCCTCTCATTTCCCAGTCTTCCTGTTTGCAGATCCAGGGACTTGGCCACCCCTGGCAACTGTCTGTCTTGGTGTGTCTGCTCCACGCTTCTGTCTCCCGTGGGGCCTCCACAAACCACGTCTTACTTCCTTGACCCAACCTTGTCTTGCCCACCTTCTCAGAAACCCAAATCCAGGCTTTCTTGCCTGCAGTACTCACTTGGCACTCATGAATGCTTAGATATTGCTGCTTTAGTGATGTGTGCCCTGCAACTTCTTATTTCTTTCCAGCTTTGGACATTGTTTAGGTTTGGTGTGTGCTTTCACAAAGTGCCTGCCAACCTGGTTAGCCACCCCTGTCCCATCTTTGCTCTGGTGTTGGTCATGTTGAAAGGAGGCTCTGTACTTCCCAGCCCACTGTTAAAGCTTCCTTGTCCTCTGGAACTTGGCCCCTGTGACCCATTCCTTGAGTCCAGTATACAGGCTGGACATAATCTCTTCTTATTGAGTTGCTTATGTGCTCCTTGCTCTTTGAATGCACTCCATCTGTCTGCTTAGGACAGCCCTACCAGCATCCCTTCCACAGTGCTCTCCTCAACTGTTGACTGTCTACAGCCAGAAATAATCATGCCCTCCTCTGGGTGCTCACATTTCTTTAATAGAAACTCTTTGAACTCTGTCTTCCTTTGTGTTAGGGGTACTTAAGACCTTCCTTGACCTCTCCAACATGGAAGGCAGAGTGATAGCGATAGAAGGAATTTGGGCACCCATCACTAGATATTATGAACTTAGGAAAGAAATGTGAATTAACATGGGTATAAATGGGGCACACCTGGAGATGGAAGAAGCCCATCAAGTGTCATGCTTTGTAATGTCATGTTTTCAGGCAGTAGGCCTTAGTAAGGGTGACTTTCCCTGCCCTCTGTTCTAGTAACAGACCTGAAGCTGCTACTCAGGGACACGATCTGTCCTCATTGTGTCTGGCACGTTGCCTGGCACACTGGAGTGATCAGTGTTTATTGAATGAATGAGTGCAACCTGGGAGGAAGTTGGTGAACAGCTCAGGAGAACTCTGGGCTTCTGCCTGGGGAGGAGCTCACCAGAGGGGCAGCCTGGAGCCCCCTGGCACACATGGCGGCCTCTTCCAGGTGGAGGTGGTGCAGCAGGGTGGAGGTTAGCTGCTGTCTGTCCTGTGGAGCACACATACTAGCCCTGTTGGAGGGGCAGCTGGGTGTGGAAAGAGAGCTGCCTTGACACATTCAGGTGGGCTCGGTGTCCCCCCCCCCGCAGTCAGACAAGGGGACTTTGTTATCTCTTTCCCCACCCCACCAGTAGGAAGCAGGGGTTTCCTTAGGGGAGTACTCTCCAGTTTTCCTTGAGAAAGCCCTTGGAGTTCCCGTGGTCTCCTGTGAGTGCCTGGAGGCCATGGGAGCTGGGACCTGTGACTCTGCTTTTCCCTTTGCCTGCCTGTCGCCATGGACAGGGCAGCTGATTGCGTGGAATGACTTGTCCCTCAGGGCAGATTTCGGGCTGGGCAGATGTGAAGAATCACACTGATGCATAGCTCAGAGCTTACAGAGTCGGACATGTCCCGTGTATGCCTGCTCTCCCACATATCCCTCACAGGGGTGTCTTGAAAACAACATAGCGCAGGGGGTTAGTAAGGCTAGGGCCATCCTTTGTGCTGCTTGTCTGAAGACACCTGGCCTTACTGGACTGGCCCTGACAGCTTCCAGTGGAGGTTTTTACCCGTTCTGATTGCTGCCCTCCAATGCCAGCTCACAGAGCTGTGGGATGCTCTAGCAGAGATGCTGAACTGGAAGGCCTGAGACAGTCTTGCAGCTGCTGGGCTTTGGAGGCTGCAGGGAGGCAGCAGAAAGTCGGAAGGAACCTGCAGGTCTGTAGTGCAGACCCATTTTCCAGAGCTCATAGGGAGGGTGCAGAGGCTGTGGATGAGCCTAAAGGGTGACAATCACTCCAAGTCCCTGAGCACCCCCTTTGGTGAACGGGGGCCTGGGTCTGTCTGAGAGTCACAGCCATTCCCTTCCATGTGTTTGTGCCTGCTGTTTTTGGGGGCTGGGTGGAAGAGCTGCTCAGAGCTCACTTCCTTGCTCGCTCTGCGTGCTGCGGCCCCACCCCCCTCTTGGCTAGCACTGCCAGTGTTTGTTATTGTAGTTCTGGCGCCCGGCCAGGCTGGCTGGGAGCCAGACTTGTGGGTACAGTATGTACAGTGAGTGCTGAGCCAAGTTTGTCATCATACACGATTAATTTTTTTTTTCCCTAATCTGGTAGGGGTGGGGTGAAGGAAGAGGCAAGGAATGAGTTTCTCTGATGCTGGCAAATAGGCCACATGGAATTCTGCAGAGATGTTCATTACAAGAAAGCCAGAGAATATTCCTGCCTCATTCTCCTCCACAGCCAGTCCTTAGCTTCCTCCTCCTCCGAGTTTCCTATCAGATGGAATCAGCCTGTAGGAGATCGACAGCGCAGGGCTTTATTTCCAGTGACTGGAATACTAAATTTACACTCCTAAATCAGTTTGCATTGTGTCGAAATTGACAATTTGTTTAATTAGAAGTTTGCCCTGTAGGAGGCCCTTCTGAGAGACCATGGTTTCTCTTTCTCTCTTACTTCCTTCTTTTTTTTTCTTTCTAGTGTTTTTAAGACCTTAACTGGTAGTAGGCAATGTTCAGTTTAATTGGAGTTTTTATTTGGATTTGAATGTGTAAACTAGTCAAGTGTTCATGAGATATACCTGGTAATAACAAGAAGTTTAAATGAACCAACAGTAAACTGAGTTGTGAACTACGAGGTGGCTGGCCAGGACTTGCACGTGCGGAGGCAGGTTTGGAGAGTCTGAAGGGTTTGAGTGTTGGGGACAGGGCCGTGGTGGGGTGGGAAGAAAGGCAATCTCAGGGGCTTTGCAAAGTTAGCACCTGGGGGAAGGGGGAAACTTGGGGGCTGGATGGTGGCTGACCTGCCCTTTGTGGTCACAGGGTCCAGAAGCATCTGTGCATTCAATATCCCCATGCCTCTTGTCATTCGACACAAACTGCCCATGTCTCCAGCTGAGTCTGCAATGGGCCCTAGGATGGCTCCTGTTCACCCAGTGGTGTTTCCCATGGCTTAGCTTTATGTTCTGATGGGTTAGAAAAAAGCACACACTTAGCCCCGTTTTTTGACTGGGTTGTAAAGCTATTAGAGGTTTGCATATTTGTGTGGTCTGGTCCTGTTTGGGGTGTACCATGTTTTCAGATCCCATAAAGGTAAGCACATGTCGCAGATCTGGCTCTGTGTACTGCCAGCATCCCTGCCCTCAGGGAGTTTCCATCCACCACGTCAGTGAGATCATGACACAAAAATGGAGTGTGGGCTGCAGGACAGGGAACTGTGCAGGCAGGGGGTGTTCCAGAGGAGAGCAGGGCAGGGTGAATTGGTGAAGGATGAGGTGCTAGGAGCCTGAGCCACTGATGGGAAGTGGAGTCAGCTGGGCAAGCAAGAGGACAGAGTGCAGCGTGTGCAGGGAAGAGGCATTGGAAGGCCTAGCCCAAATGCTTGGTATTTCCCTGAAGCAAGCTTGGGAAGGAAGAGACATATTTCCCCTCTGAAACTGAAGGAACTCTGGGATTGCTGATGCAGACTAGACGGCAACTTGGGGAAGTCAAAGTGGCATGTCCACGTTGGGTGTAGTGTGGAGAGTTCTGTGCTAGGGAGGGACATGTAGTCCTTTTG